GTATATGTGTGTGTGTTTAAAACCCATGGCATCTTTGCTAATACATTTGTGTAGAATGCATACTTGCTTAGTCTTACTGATTTTAATGCAGCTGTCAAGAACTGCACTTAGGCACCTGTTTGCTGGTTTACAGTCTCAGTGAAAAGATTTCACAGGATCAAATTATCTTTAAACCTCATGCTTCTGTGGTAGTGACAGTGGATTTAGACTGTGTGAGCTCTGTGGTATAAATGTGCAGGAAATGCATTAGAAAGGTAGATGGAACATCAGTGCAGAGAATGAGTATAGTTGACTCCATTATATATTCAGGTGCACAGTAATACAGATGTGGAAAGAAGACATTTTTGAATACCTTTTCGCACTTGAGAAAGGTGAGGCAAGGATATTAGGAATAAGACTTTGATACTAAAACTGCACAGAAAAACGTGGTTGAGAATTCAGTAAGATGCTATTCAACCCCACAGAACTCTTGAAGCCTCATCATGAGTTACATTACAAAGTTTTGTTGCCAAACTTACCTGTCTCTTCAGAATGTTGCATCATCTAAAACTGCCTCGGTCTATTGCGATCACTTGTAAGTACTGCAGAGAAGGAATCATATCTGTTCTTTATGTGTTCTCCTTCTTCTCCCACACTGTTATCCCTTTCATGCTAGCTTATTGACTCTCATCTCTTGGAAGCTCTGCAGAATAGCCCGAAAGATTGATTTTTCCGTTACTGCTGTAGGCTATTTCTATTAACATGTGAATAATATTTACTTTTTAGATATAATAAAATCACCTAAACAATACTAAATTAATATCCTTGGTTGGGAGAAACCCAGGGAAGTCAGGTCTAACATCCTTTAACAGCCATACAAACTAAGCAGAGGTGTACTGATACCATGCTTTAATATTAGGAAATGTTCCAAAGTTCTTTTTTGCATTATGCTTTACAGGAAAATCTCAAAGAGAGCTGCAGAAATATTTCTCAAGTCAATTTTAAAAATTTTAGGATTTAAGGAATCAGCTGTATAAACGATTTTAAATTATTCTGCTGAAGTCCAACCCATTTCCTGCATAGGTCCTCAAGGGCCTTTGTAATTTTGATAGAAATACAAGAAGTGATATGTTAGAAACTCGGTGAAAGGGATGTATAAAAATGTCTGAGAATTCCTACTAACTGCAGGCCATTGACATGGTAAAATATAACATAATGCATGTTTCAAGGAGCTGTATGTAGGAAACCATGTTTTGTTGGGTGCTTAAGGTGTTAACCTGCAAGTTGTCATCTAAATATGTGGTTGCCTATCAGCTAATACACAGGAGATTGTGTCTTCTGATTGTAGTATTCCTTTCACTATTCACTGGTTTATTTTCCTTCTGTTTTCTTTCTGTCTTTCTTGGGGAAGTTCTTGAGGAAAATCTCAATCAGGGAAAATTTCTGTTTCTTTCCCTAGAAAATAGTGTAGTATATAAAGTACCATTGCATAAACATTTTTATCAAAATCTTGGCAAGGCAGAATTACAGTGCATGACTTGTGGAATGCCTAGCTAAACTCTTTCAAAAGCACTTTGTGACAAAATTCTAACATCAGCACACCCTTGGATTTTTATACCTACACTTTAACAGGTTGAAACAATGGTTGCAATATTTAGCTGCTACATCAAAGATCTTTTTATCATCTCCGCTTCCCACCCCATCCCTTTAAAACAGAGCAGTACCAGATGTCCAACCACAGTTACACCAATCCACTCAGCTACCTATAGGAACACCAGCTACTGTACCTTAAAATCCTGCTGCTGAGGAATGGAGGTCTGCATTAAAATTTTGGATTCTTAGGTTAATCTATACCACATTCACCTTCAGCTGCCCTTCTGACATTCCTGAGCCTCTTGCACAAGCTGTCAGTGACTTATATTCCCAAGTTAAGTAGTATTGAAAAACAAGTGAAAAATACTGTTCATAATTGTGATGCATATCTTTGTAAGGCTCGGTGAATTTGTTAGTTGCATTGTGAAGGTCTTAAAGCACATTACTTACTTTCCTGTTAATGAATGTTAGTGTTCCAATGCTGTGTGTAGGATCACACACTGCTTTTAGCATCTTGAATCTTACTGTCACTGAGTTACATTGGTTTCATGCTGGGTATTGTAATGATCTCAGGTAGTTACAATAATTCTGAATTAACTAAGAAAAGTGTCAAATTTATCTCTGAAATAAAATAAAATTCTATTGGAGACTTTCAATAGCCTCTACTACTATAGAATGGCTCCAAATTTAGGTTGCATCTGCCCTGGCAACACTTAATGTCATTGTGTCTGGTTGTTGTTTAGGGACTGTAGGCATCAGGCTACAGTAATTTACCTGAGATCATGCCAGAACATGAATTAGAATGAGTACTTCTGATCCTAAATGAGCAACTTGCAGCTTGAGGGGTAATCTTCATCATTCAGAAGTATTCATGGGATTCTTTATGGTGGAAAGGGAAACTACTGAAACCAAATTACAACCTGGCATCGATATACACCCTTGGCAGAAAAAGCAGCCAAGTAAGGCCAGGCTGAATATTTTGGCCATGCTAATTATTTTTTGATTTTTTCATGCCAATCTATATTATTTATAAAAACGCATAGTTGTTTTTGAAGACTTTCTAATTTATTTATTGGAGGAAATATCTGATATTTTCATGTTTCTGAAAAATGTGGGTGAATTTTTTTGCCAATATGTATACAAGATAGAAATCGTACTAATTAATTAGTTCAACACTTTACATCATCAATACTCTCTTTAACTCTGAGAAGAGGAAAAGAAACATGTAACCTCTAAACTTCCCCTCCCCCCTCGCTCCCCCCGGTTTATAATCTATAGTGGCTAAATGGATAATTTTTGAATGTGTATAATAAAACTTACTCTTAAGCTTCAACACTGTATTTCAGGTTCAAGCTGAATCAAATTTTTACTGCAACCTGTTGCCCTCTAGGCCAAAAGTGGATAGGGTTGTAATGGAAATGCTGATGAGCCTTAATAAAGCAACTCTTCCAAATGTCAAGAGTTTGATCTAGTACTTGTACTGCACTATATTACATTACTGCATCTCTTATATGTACTGCAGATGACACATGAAGAAATCAAAATATCATCAAATGCAACCAATGTATGTCACATTGGTGTAGAGATCTGAAAAAGGGAGTGAATATGATAAAATCTTCTATGGTAAAATAAAAATAGCATTTTGAAAGACCTTCTTCTTGCAGTACAATTAATTACTGAGTTCATTAATTAATGAACATATTAGCAAAAGAACACCATTACTGACCAGTGTAGTCTTGATATATTACCAGGTCAATACACTATTGAACATGAAACAGGACCTTCCAGGAGATTTTTTTTCTCATAACCCACAAACACATATATTATACCTGCATGGTCAGCACTTCTTTGGTACCCTTATATTTAGTATTACTAATTCTTTTAATCATACATCCATAGAGTAATGTGTTATAACCTGGCTAATGAGTAATTGGACAGGTGACATTGGGACTGAGGTCCTGAAGTGTCAGACATAATAGAGCAGGATTTTTTTGCTCACGAGGTTTTTGAGAGTAAAAGGTTGTAAAGGAGCAGATAGGATAAGAGGAATAAAGGACTCTTGTAACAGAAATTTATCAGAGAAATATAAATGTCTTTACATTTCTTCTGATGCAGATAAATAAGAGAAGGGATCAACCCTTTAAAGTAATTCTTTTTCATTGTCAGCAGCCAAGGAGCTTAGCCAGGCAAACTGATGCTGCATGTAATTTATTTAAAGTCACTACAGTTGATAATTATTTTTTGTATAGAAAATACATGTGAGCATGTGTATTAATTCTTTGGAAAAGGCAGGAGTCTTCATAATTCTTAGATATCTCTGTGGCAATGTGTACCAAGCACCCTTCCCCCACCTTAGCCCCCAAGTAATCATTGATTGCATCTAAATCTATAGAGATATCTTTTCCTGGCAGCTCTGGTAGTTACAGTAGATTGTTAATCTGTGAATGATCAGAATAAGCCTCTCTGTCTCAGAAATCTGCATGCAAATTACATCTAAATGCATGCCATACATTTATTAGTAGCAGTTTGAAGTGCACAGGTCATCTTCTACACTATTTAAAAACTCTGTTACATTAGAAAGAGTCTCATTCAATTTATATTCACTTTTCTGTGGCTGTAGCTAGCCCTTTTCAAAGTAAACCTGGGTAATTTTTGAAATAATTCTACAAATGAAGATGAGAAAGTCTGTTATTAAGGAAGCTGTATTATTAAGCAAACTTGAGATCTCTGGATGGGACTGGAGTTTTACTATTCCTACTTTAAAACAGAATAAATACTTAAATACATGTTTAATAAATGAGGAATTTTAAGAGATAAAAGGCTATTCCTAGGCATTGGAGAAAGTGAGAGATGTAAAGGCAAGTTACAGGGTGTTTTTGAAACAGTCTTATTCTTGTACATTGATCAGTTTATTGTTTTGGGAACACATAAAATCCACGACTTCTTTTTGCAGCAGAGTTATGTGTTAGGTGAACCCCAAAAAGAAAATTCAAAAATAACCTTTGGATTCCATGAAGGAAGAGGAAATATGTTTTTAGTTTTCCTTTCCATCTGTTTTTTTTCTGAATTTTTATCTGGATTTGAAACTGGTATACTTCTATGATAAGACATCCCTAGTAACTTTCTTTCTTTATGAAGTCAAGGATATTTATGGAACTCCTACAGCATCCTCATCCTACCAACTTTTTTTTTTTTTTCCCCTAAAGAAAATAGAGTAAATCTTTAAAATATTTCAGGATTTTATCCATCTCCATGGGATGTACTGACATATGATTTTGAAAGAAAATTAATTTATACTTAAAATAGGAGCTAAGCTTTGAATGTTAAAGGCTGGGTTTTTCTATGCAGTTCATATCATTCTAACTATCAACAAATTTGTACAAGCAGGAATAAATACATTAACATGTGTTTTCTGTTTCTTTTTCCAGGCCATCCGCTGTACACTGGTAAATTGCACATGTGAATGTTTTCAGCCAGGGAAGATTAACCTGAGAACCTGTGATCAGTGCAAACATGGCTGGGTGGCACATGGTAAGAAATATCTGTTCTGGGATTGTATTTTCAATTCTTTCCATCTTTACCAGTATCTTTAAATAATAAGAACTGGATTGATACAGACAATAGTGGTACCTATTTGTCTACATATGCACGTGTGCACAATCTGTGTTTGTCCTTGTGTATGCATGCACATGCTTGTTTCACAGCAATTTATAAGATATAAAAGTAATGGTCTGTTGTTCTGGTGACAGCTTCAAGTGCCACTGGAGTTCAAAAGCTTGTATACAACTCAAAAGAATATTCTAGCCTCCAGAAAATAAGGTAGTTCCTGTAGGGCTTAACAGAAAGGCAAAAAGTTTACAGTATGGTTGCATAAAGGAGTTTATATTGCAAAGAAGCATCAGCCAAGAAGTCATGGGGCCAAATAGAAATTCAAATTTACCAGTGTCAGACATTCAGATCTCACATGTTGAGAGTGTATCCTGTATGGCAAAGAAAATCTGTATATGTGATTTGTGAGTTGAACCTCTCTTCCCATGTATAAGTGTCTTAGTAAAGATAGGAAGGATTAGAATTCCCAGATCAGGCATGAAAGGCAAAAAAGACTTAAAAATTCACAGAAAGACCTTCAATTATATTTATCCTTTTCTATTTCATGTTATTGGAAGGGTTTTTTTCCTTGATAGTCATTATTAAATTAGCGTGAGAGAGCAGGAGAGAGCTGTAGACACCATTAGAAGGCAAATAAGGAAGATACCTAAAATGATTTAATGAAAGAAAAATAGGAAGAAATTGTTGTTGAAGTTTTCTTCTCATGATCTAGACTATTGGTACCTAAGCAAGCACAGCCCTTATACCCCACTTCTGCTAGATATCAGGGGGCTTATATTCTGTGAACTTTTTTTATTTTGATGAGAACTCAGGTGAAAGGTTAGTATTTTCCTCCTAAGATACATTTGATTTCTATTTATTTAGTTCATGTCTGTGTGGTTTTGTGCTTGAGTATGCTAACATATGGCAAGTGTGAATGCTCAAAAACTTCAACAGCATATATTGGCAGAGAAGTTTTTATTCACATATATGGAAAGAGAAACATGTATGCAGGTACCATGCAGTCCCATGTCACTGTGTAACATTGCCTTCAGACTGCCTAGAAATGCCCTAGCACCACCCATCTGGTAGCTGGTTATAAGTTTATTGTATACTAGATTACCTAGGAGCATAGTATATCTCTGTTATTCTTAATTCTCTGAAAATTATTTTCAGTCACTGTATAACCAGATTCACATTTCTTTGAAGAAGCACTGAACCTCACAAAATTTGTATAGTTCTGGCACTCTTCAGGTTTTGTGTAGAGTCAGCAAGTGAGGTTTTGCTGACTGGAAAATAGGGAAGCACTGTCTAGGTATTTTCCAGGTGTCCTCCTGGTGAGCAATATAAACTAAGAGTCTCGCACTTTGATTCTAGCTCATGGCAATCCTGAATTTTCTTTTTAATGAGTGCATTTTGGAAGAGTTTGGAAAAGAATAATCAGATTTTCCTACCTGTGATCTGATTCTTCTCTGGGAAGTGATTGAATTCAAAATCAGAATATTATGACAGCGATCTGAGATTACCACAGTGTATATAATGGAAATGTCCCTGTTTTACAAATCCAGAAACTTGAAAGTGGAATATGATGATTTGGGATACACCACCTGCTTAACATTCCAAAAAGAAAAACTTAATACAGCTATATATTTTTAGAAAGTCTTTATTTTGCTATTGTGCCAAGTGAATAAGGATATTATTTTTCTTTTTTTTTCTTTTTTTTTTTATTAGTGCACTTTTTGTACATTTATCTGGAGTACTTATATTTTATGGCAGAGTGAAACAGATCAGATATATGTTTCACATACATCAAGCGTGGGCTTGTAAATTATTTTCTGGATACAATGCTATATCTCCTTCAATTCTTGATCTGAACTGTTTTTGAGGATTTTGAGGGCAGCATTCAGGAGACATATCAATTCACTTCACTGCAGCACCTGGGTTTCAAAATGACTGAAACCAGGTTCACAAGTCCTTTATTTTAAAAATGTTAGCACAGTTTTTTCAGAAGTTGTTCCTTGAATGCAAAGAGTATTTCCTGCTGCTTTAATTAAAGGGTTTCCTTAGGATTTTTATTAATGAATTTCAACTCAGCTCCTTGACAGATGATGCAGTGCTTTACTGAATGCAATTATCACAGCATAGGTGTTTCCAAAAGGAAATACTGTGCTTATTCAGTTCTGATAACCTAGAATTATTATTAACTGAATAGATAAAAAATAGTTTAGAACTGCATTCTACTTGTGCTAGACTTGACTAATCTGTATGGAGTAAATTCATTTTAATAGCTGCTGTTTAAAACATCAGAATTCTTAGAGGGAGGAGGAAAGGGCATACAGCCACCACTGTACTATTGCACTTAGCAACTCCTGGCCTGTTTTCTTCTCCCCTGCTTCCATTGTCTTTCTTATGTTTTCCTTGGCTCATCTAAAATAAGCCGCACACATCTTGAAAGAAAAGGTTTCCTACAAGTTCAGATACACCTGTCTGGAGTTGCCAAACCTAGGATTGCAATTATATGAATAATATTACATTGGAAAGTATGTTTGTGGCCAGATAAATGTTTCTGTTGTTGAAAGTTCAGCTTATCAAGTTTTGACCCCTGTACTACAGTAGCAATCCTATCATCAGTGTTTTTAATGCCAAAGAAAAAAGCTGCACAGAGCTTAACAGCATTATCAAGTACTGCTGTGCATCATGGAAAGTGGGTTAGTCCTAGGATGAATCTCTGAGTATTTTAAGGGATTTGGGTAACTTAGACTGTTTTCATTTGTTTTCAGCTAAAGCTTGGCTTTCATATTGTTAGATTGGGTGGAGATTTATTTTCCAACCCAAAAATTAAATGGTTTAAATTGGCCCAATGTAGTATCAATCAAGTACAATCTTACCTACTCTCATAACTGTTTCACTCCAAAAACATGTGTTAAGGTGTCATAAGTAATAGTGAACTAAAGCTATTATTTCTGATATTCATTTTTCTTATTTTAGTTTTGATAGCCTCACAAAAACCCAGAAAAACAAAACAAAACAAAATAACCCCTCACAGTGTAATAATATTACTAAGTTTGTGTGAAATCATTATCATCTTCTTTCAAATACAATCAGAAAATTAGAAATCACAATTTTTTGTCTTACGCTGAAATGGGTCACTGTTAAAATTCAGAGATCGATAGTGTGTTTCTGGTGTACTGTGCATACTTGGACCAGCTGAATTTTATACTAAGCAATCTACTCTAGGAAATTAAGCATTCCTTCCCTTCCCTTCCCTTCCTTCCCTTCCCTTCCCTTCCCTTCCCTTCCCTTCCCTTCCCTTCCCTTCCCTTCCCTTCCCTTCCCTTCCCTTCCTTCCCTTCCCTTCCCTTCCCTTCCTTCCCTTCCCTTCCTTCCCTTCCCTTCCTTCCCTTCCCTTCCCTTCCTTCCCTTCCTTCCCTTCCCTTCCCTTCCCTTCCCTTCCCTTCCCTTCCCTTCCCTTCCTTCCCTTCCTTCCCTTCCCTTCCCTTCCCTTTCCCTTCCCTTCCCTTCCCTTCCCTTCCTCCCTTCCCTTCCCTTCCCTTCCCCTTCCCTTCCCTTCCCTTCCTTCCCTTCCCTTCCCCCTTCCCTTCCCTTCCCTTCCCTTCCCTTCCCCTTCCCTTCCCTTCCTTCCCTTCCCTTCCCTTCCCTTCCCTTCCCTTCCCTTCCTTCCCTTCCCTTCCCTTCCCTTCCCTTCCCTTCCCTTCCCTTCCCAGAACTTCCCAGAACTTCCCTTCCCTTCCCAGAACTTCCCTTCCCTTCCCTTCCCTTCCCAGAACTTCCCTTCCCTTCCCAGAACTTCCCTTCCCTTCCCAGAACTTCCCTTCCTTTTTGTTTTCCCCTCTTATTGAAAAATACAGTCCTTAGTCTTCTAATGGTCTTTGATGTCTTTTGATTTGCATCATGCCAATCAGCTCAGTTCAGGGCTCAGCTATTCATTCAAGTAAGGTTTAATTCCCTCTAAGATACGGTGAGGCCACATACAGCCCCATATAAGGATTGGTCAAATCTTCTCTCCAGTAATTTTGAGATTAAGTTCTTTTCGGTTGTAATAAAAAAATACTAAATAACATTAACTAGTAGATTTTGGCACATAAGGTCCGTTCCTTATTTTTCTGACTAAAATCTGCCATACAGCAAAGAGTAATAGTCAGAGACTTGCCATATGAGTTACAATTTCACCTTGTAAAGGAATTTTTCTGGTGCTATACTAGTATTTATATAAAGTAGGTGCTAGCTTGCTGTTAATGAGACTCAGAATGGAAACAACCTCCATTAGAAAATGGAGAATGCCATAAATTCGGATGCAGAACATGACTGACTACTTCATTTGAGTTTTCTGAATTTCTGCATGTTGGGTCATGAAATTGTCAATTAAAAGAAACCTGAAATGAACACAAAAGGAAGGAAGGATAGGTGGAAATAAAGTAAAGAAACAGCAGAACGCTGTGGAAATTTTAGAAATCACTTCTCTCCCTTGCTCTGAGGTCTTGATCTAGGAAGAAGTTTAGAATTTAAATGTGAGCTGTATAGGAATGAGATGGGAATGACTACTATGTTGAAATAAAATTAATCTGAATTCCTGTATTTGTCTCAGTCCAAAGATGTTAATTAAAAGAAACCCAGGTTTGCAAAGTCAAAGATCATCTCTATACAAAACAAAATAAGAACATGTCACTGATCTTAGAATCTCTCTAAAAGCTAGCAGAACTGCCATGTTGTTCTTTACTTAAAAATGGAGATTTTTAAGCAGAGGGTAAATTTTTAAAAAGGCAAAAAAAAAAAAAAGAAAAGAAAAGAGACATGTAGTTATAGCTGACTAGTAAAATAATTGGGTTATATTTGCATCGTCTGGTAGCATACAAAATATCGTCACAACTTACAATATCAAATAGAGTTGCTTCCTTCTATAAAATGTATTTAATTATTTGAAA